TGGCTAAGCAGAAAATGCCAATTTCACGTTTGCTTCACTCTCCCTGTAGTGGTTTACAGTCTCTGCCCAGTGAGGCCGCCTTAAAGCAGTCGCCTGGTGGAGTGTAGCTCGGGTGTGGGTCTTCGTACCAGAGTTAACGTCCATGCTAACAGCTAGCTGCTTATTCTTTAGCATTGTGGTGATATTAGTTTGTTTTTAGCATTATTCTTATTATAATTTCCTATCCACGAGGCTCACTAATACTGTCATTAGTGATTACTCCTTCATGTTCTGTGGTTTGTCGTTATCAAAGTACGTCTGTATAATCGGTTTCGAAAAAACCCTTTCCCACGATAAAGGTTCCGTGGTGCAAATTGGACCAACCATGCTTCAAGACAATTTTACACATTTTCTTTGTGCAATTAATTCATCTTAATTTATCCGTTAAAGTCCCAGCCCTAGTCTTTTGTCTACTTGATCATGACTGTCATCACCTCCGCCTCCCACCACTGTCCGGGTCCAAAGAGTCTTCGTCATGTGTTTTTGGCAGAGAACGGCCCGGTATAGAAAGGATGCAGTGTACCAATATGTCTCTTGAACACACTATAAATCATTCTTTGTTCTTTGGTCGTAACATTTACTCAGAGACGCCCAGAGAAGTGCACTGGGCTGGAGTAAAGCTGAGGTCACAGCAGGAGAACGTCCCGTTGTCTGTGTTCGATTCCCACTTTTAACCTGAGGATGTGGGTGAAATACACTGACTGTGATTAACACTATTGGTCACACTTTAGCCCTCACTAATTAAACGCTAATTAGTGTAAAATTTGTAGTTAATTAGCTTGTATATAATATTTATTAAGCACTTATCAGTACTCATTCTACATGGCCTTATTCAACATCAAGCGAACTAAAGACACTTCCCATATGGGTTAGGGTCGGAAAGGGTTCGGGTTATGGTGCTTTCAGACCGGCTCATGCTGCGCCGGGTTTCAATGCAAAGTCTAAGGTGACGCGCGTCCGACTGTCACAACGCACAGACCGCTCGGCACGCACAAACAGACTGTTCAGTAGACACGCACAGACTTGGCGGGAAAGTGAAAAGGGAGGAGCAGGAGCGAAAAATGGACGCCCACAGGAGATGGATTCTGCTCATCCTTTCCTTGGGACGTTCGTGCGACAACCAATCAGAGAGCAGCAAAGTGGTCACGGGGACATTAGCGGACTGAGAGAGCAGACTGAAAATACTCGTAAACAGCCAAAACAGGACCCACACCAGGCTTCACCAGAACTCAAACCAGGGTTGACAATGGGGGACTGTGTGTTTGTGAAAATATACGTTGTCATGCTCCCGTGACCTTATGCAACGGCTTCGAGTGTGTTCGCCGATGCGGAAATACTGTTTAATAATATGAAAACACGTATGGCGCACCTCCGTGAACAGAACACATACTACTTTTATATAAAGTCACCTCCGTGAATACATACTGCTGTTATATAAAGTCACCTCTGTGAATACATACTGCTGTTATATAAAGTCACCTCTGTGAACACATACTGCTGTTATATAAAGCCCGTGGAAAGGTCTCTGTTCAAAGACACGCTGCAAAGCTGAATATTGGAGAACATCTGTACACAAGAAGCCGCTAGCATAGCTCTGTTAGCATTAGAGCCGGCCGGCTACTTCCAGTACTTCCGGCTCGCGTCAGGACGTTCTGGTGTGAGGTCCTCTGTGTCTGAAAACTAGAGAATGCGCGTCTGGTAAGCGGGGCTTCAGCGTTTCAGTGTTGCCGGTCTGAAAGCACCATAAGACTAGACCAGGAATCTCCAACAGCAAACAGCAAACAAAACAAAACCAAAACACAGAGATTGTACTATCATTTTTTAAAGTAATGCGCGGCCCTTGAACACAAACTTAAACTCATTCTTCTTCCGTGTAAAATCTCTTTCCAAAATGCTACAATAGATTATCTTCAACTAATGCAAATGTTTAACACTCACACATCATTCCCTCTGGACAGTACCGGTCCAAATCCAAACAGGACGGGGAGTCGTTCCAAAACGTTCTGCTCTCCTTCTTTTTGTGTGTTTGATATATGAATATTCCTCTGGCCTGGGATGAAGCGCGAGCCTTACCCACGCTCTGTTCTCATGCAGCAGAGGGGACGCGAACCATTACTCACCGTCAGGGGTCCGCAGCGGGACGTGGCTGTGTTTATAGTGGCTGAACGTCCCAGAATGTTATGGGTTCGAGGCACGAGGTGGATCTGGTTTTATCTCATGTTTGGTTTTGTTTTTTACTTTAATTGTTTTTTTTGTTTTACTTCCTGTCACATGTTGGTCCGCCCTCATGTGTCACCTGTGTCTGTGTGTCTATATGTACCTGTGTCTCTCTGTGTCTATATGTACCTGTGTCTCTGTGTGTCTATATGTACCTGTGTCTCTCTCTGTCTATATGTACCTGTGTCTCTCTGTGTCTATATGTACCTGTGTCTCTGTGTCTATATGTACCTGTGTCTCTGTGTCTATATGTACCTATCTCTGTGTCTATATGTACTTGTGTCTATATGTACCTGTGTCTGTGTGTCTATATGTACCTGTGTCTCTGTGTGTCTATATGTACTTGTGTCTATATGTACCTGTGTCTGTGTGTCTATATGTACCTGTGTCTGTGTGTCTATATGTACCTGTGTCTCTGTGTCTATATGTACCTGTGTCTGTGTGTCTATATGTACCTGTGTCTCTGTGTGTCTATATGTACCTGTCTCTCTGTGTCTATATGTACCTGTGTCTCTTGTGTCTATATGTACCTGTGTCTCTGTGTGTGTCTATATGTACCTGTGTCTCTGTGTGTCTATATGTACCTGTGTCTCTCTGTGTCTATATGTACCTGTGTCTCTCTGTGTCTATATGTACCTGTGTCTCTCTGTGTCTATATGTACCTGTGTCTCTCTGTGTCTATATGTACCTGTGTCTCTCGGTGTCTATATGTACCTGTGTCTCTCTGTGTCTATATGTACCTGTGTCTCTCTGTGTCTATATGTACCTGTGTCTCTCTGTGTCTATATGTACCTGTGTCACTGTGTCTATATGTACCTGTGTCTCTCTGTGTCTATATGTACCTGTGGCTCTGTGTCTATATGTACCTGTGTCTCTCTGTGTCTTTATGTACCTGTGTCTCTCTGTGTCTATATGTACCTGTGTCTCTGTGTCTATATGTACCTGTGTCTCTCTGTGTCTATATGTACCTGTGTCTCTGTGTCTATATGTACCTGTGTCTCTCTGTGTCTATATGTACCTGTGTCTCTCTGTGTGTCCATATGTACCTGTGTCTCTCTGTGTCTATATGTACCTGTGTCTCTCTCTGTCTATATGTACCTGTGTCTCTGTGTCTATATGTACCTGTGTCTCTCTGTGTCTATATGTACCTGTGTCTCTGTGTCTATATGTACCTGTGTCTCTCTGTGTCTATATGTACCTGTGTCTCTCTGTGTGTCCATATGTACCTGTGTCTCTCTGTGCGTCCATATGTACCTGTGTCTCTCTGTGTGTCCATATGTACCTGTGTCTCTGTGTGTCCATATGTACCTGTGTCTCTGTGTCTATATGTGGAGATGGCACAGACTGGTTGCCCTGCTTCTGTCAGTTGTGCCCCAGGGCAGCTGTGGCTACAGTAGTTTTCAGCGCCATATAAAAATGATACATTATTATTTGGATGATGGTGGGACCTGTTTCTCTGAGTTGGAGTACAAGTACCAGTACCAGTACCAGTACAGGTCCGAGTCCATGTGTGCCTCTGTAACCAGTCTCTCAGTGTCTGGGAGCAGCCTGGCCCGCACATGTGTGAGATAGCATCACACTTCAGTCTCTGGTCGCGGGGAGACTTACGTAAGCTCCATTTAGACAAAATGGGCTAAATTCACCAAAGCTATTTTCTATTTACGCACAATTTGGCTAATTTCTCTTAAAACGGTCAAGTGAGAAACACAAGAGCTGCAGAGTGCGTTCAAAACGACTTTATGGATTTAGATCCCGTTTGGAGATTTACAAGAGCAACATGCGCCACGGAGAGCTACACACACACACACACACACACATACACACACACACACACACACACACACACACACACACACACATATACACAGACACACAAACACATACACACGCACACACACACACACCTATACACACACACACACATACACACAGACACACACACACACAGACACACGCACACACAGACACATACACACAAACACGCACACACACTTATACACACACAAACACACACACATATACACAGACACACAAACAGACACACACACACACATAGACACACACACATACATACACACACACATACACACAAACACACACAGACACATACACACACACAATGACGCACAACGCTTTAGCTGTAAGTAATGAGATCAGGGCTCGCAGGGACTTTATCACCTGCTCTTACTCATGTGTTTTAGTCATTTTTAGTAATATATCATTTCAGTATTTGGTTATTTGTTACAGTTGTTAACACAAAAAAGTAAATAATAAAATGTTTTCTGTTGTTTCTTAAGTCATTTTAGTAAGGGGGAAATAATACATACACAGATCTATTTGCATAAATCAAAATAAAACAGTTTGGTTTCCTAAAATAACTGTTTTTATAACTTATTCATTATATTTTGTCATTTAAACAGGGTTGGCTCAAAAGACATTGTCAATAATAATGATCATAAATTATATTTTTGTTTTTTTTTATTTTTTAATGGCATAGTTCAAGATCTATGCATCTTCTTCTATTGTTGTGTGTCTTTCAAACCACAGGTGAAAAAACAGAACAGTTTGATTTTCCGCATGTATCTCTGTCTCATCTGCTTTTTCAGACAGAAAAGTGACAAAGAGAGGACCTCACTCACTCAGCCAATCAGCTCGCAGCACAAAGGGCATTTTCTTACAAATAATAATAATCCAGAAATACGTTTTAATCCTATGGAATCCTTTAGAATCGGTGGTTTTTGATCATGAAGTATGCCCTGGTGGATCCCGCTGCCACAGGCCTCACAGCCCCCGGTGGATCCCGCTGCCACAGGCCTCACAGCCCCCGGTGGATCCCGCTGCCCCGGGCTCACAGCCCCCGGTGGATCCCGCTGCCCCAGGCCTCACAGCCCCCGGTGGATCCCCCCAGGCCTCACAGCCCCCGGTGGATCCCGCTGCCCCAGGCCTCACAGCCCCCGGTGGATCCCGCTGCCACAGGCCTCACAGCCCCCGGTGGATCCCGCTGCCCCAGGCCTCACAGCCCCCGGTGGATCCCGCTGCCCCAGGCCTCACAGCCCCCGGTGGATCCCGCTGCCACAGGCCTCACAGCCCCCGGTGGATCCCGCTGCCCCAGGCCTCACAGCCCCCGGTGGATCCCGCTGCCCCAGGCCTCACAGCCCCCGGTGGATCCCGCTGCCCCAGGCCTCACACTTGGGAGGCTCGTTCACCTGAGTTTAAACCCAGCTTTGGGAAATTCCGCGCTGACACGGCTCTGGATAGTGTCGCCTGGACCTGGATGGGAGAAAGGCACAAGAGGCTGTAATTAGAGAGAAATTAGCAGCATGTGAGATTTGAGGCCACTGCTGCACAGTGACAGTTCCACAGAGCAGGCTGGAAACGCGGGTCGGGATTGCTGTGTTTATGGCTGGGTTTGATTCCCTTCAGGATTTGGCGTTCATTTTACAATAATACAAAAGTTGCTGCAGATCAGTGTTCATGGTTTTACACTGGTCCAGACCAGAGCAGAGAGGATTCATGGTTTTACACTGGTCCAGACCAGAGCAGAGAGGATTCATGGTTTTACACTGGTCCAGACCAGAGCAGAGAGGATCAGGTGAAAATCCACTGGAGGAATGCTAACTTTTGACAAATGCAATCAAAAAAATTAGCATGTCACTTTGGACCAGAGCAGAGAAAATGGTCCGAACCAAGCGGCTGATGGACCGGATGATGATCTACATTCTGTGATAGATATGGATTGTCTGTTCCATGACGATGCAGAACGGCTAATGCTAATGCGGACTATTACTTTAGCTGTGTTTGGTTTCCATCGCTCCTGTTTGGGCCACCTGTGTCTGTGCCTGTGTGAGTAAGTGTGAATGTGTGTGTCTGTGTGTGAGTGTGTGCCTGCCTGTGTGTGTACGTATGTGTATGTGAGTGTGTGTGTATGATGGGGTGTGTGTTTACGTATGTGTGTGTATGTACGTGAGTGTGTGTGCGTGTAAATGTGTGTGTGACTGTGTGTGTGTTTGTGCCTGTGTGTGAGTTTGTGTGGGTACCTGTGTGAGTGTGTGTGTGTGACTGTGTGTGCGTGTACGTATCTGTGTGTGTGTGTGTGTGTGGTCCGGGCTCGGGACACCTGTGTGGGACCCGTGGGTGCTGACAGGGAGAGGGTCTAATTAGAGAGGTGAGCACAGAAGTCAGTCACCAACTCTGTCTCTGATACACAGGTACACACGGCACACCTGGAGGGGGGAGGTGGAGGAGGGGGGTGGGGCAGGTGGCGGGGGGGGGGCAGGTGGGGGAGAACCTACTCTATCGCTGACTCAGGACCCAACCTCTTATGGAAGCAGTCATTAGCTGAAGACGGGGAATCCCAGACACAGAAGATCAACACCATCTGAGCAAAGAGGAGAGACGAGCGGTGCAACACTGGAATTTCCCACACTGAGGAAATGTCAGAGTTGCATCTTCGGTTACAGAACAGTAGGAATGAGGAGCACACAGCACAAGATACATGAACAATATATCTGCACTAAAACTAAATCTCTTTCACATCATAAAGAAGCAAGTATTAGTCATGTCCTTGTTTAGTTTGAAACGTGTCCATAATCACACAGATCAGAAAGTAAATGAGGCGCATGGAAAAAATGTCCACTTTTCTGCATTTATCAATCTGGCAATGAGCAAACGATACGCACAGAATACACACCGAGTCTGGAGGTGGTGTTCATGCGCACGCTCATCTCAACTTTTATTTCTACACGCAAATAACACGCATGAAATTCAAGATTTGGACAATGTTAAACTAAATTCTCATTCGGGCAAAGGTCGCTCCGTTATTTTCACTTGTGGCTTAAATTAATACATTTTAACAATTGGCCCAAAATATAGCGTACATTTCTTTTGAACCAAACATGAATAAACTTCCCTCTTCAGGAGTGTTACCACCCCCATGCTGTTTACAAACGCTGTTTTTTGAGCTTCTTGATGCCACTTTTGAGGATTCCAAATAGCAATACTTCATAATGGTCTCAATCTCCGGCTCCGTGACGTTTTTTTTTCTTGGTCGTCTTCCTGTCAATTGTCGCAAAAACGGGGCATGACTTTGATAAAGCCGTCTCCACACCACCTGGTTTGTGGAGATGCAATGTTTGTGCAATATCTTTTACATTATTTTTTGTATAATATTTACAGGTCCAATTTTTTCCCCGTTATCCCCGAGACCCTGAACATTCATATACAGTGAAAAAAGTTGTTTATTGCCTCTAAGTGTGAAAAATATGTACAAAATATATTAGATTTGCCAATGGGTCAAAGCTAAATGATCTATTTAAAAAGATACAGATTTCTCTCTTTGAATAAGGAAATTAAGCAACTGTGAAATTAGAAGAATAATAAGAATCTGGTTTTAACACAGTCAGAATTAACTCAAATTAAGATAAAAACCACATGTTTTAAGCAATGACATCACATTGTGTGACTTTTTGCAGTGAAAGGAGCAGTCGGAGCCTCAGACCTCTTTGAGCTCCTGACCTCTCACTGCTCCTTTGTTTTTGCAGCTTCTGTCTCTCGTCAGTCACATCTTTTTCAAACAGAAGGTGAAGAGAGAACCTCCTGACTCAGAAAAAGTCATGTTTCCAACAAGATAAATTTAAACATTAGTTTGTTCTGATGAAAGTTTTACAAAACTAGTCTGTTTTCTCTTTAGTTTAGTGTAGAAACTACACGTTCTAAAACTGTCTCCACACGTTTTCAATCCCATTTCATTTATTGGAGAAAAAGGAAGAGCCGTGTGTGTGTGTGTGTTTGTTTGTTGTGTGTGTATTTGGTGTGTGTTTGTATGTGTGTGTGTGTGTGTTTGTTGTGTGTGTATTTGGTGTGTGTTTGTATATGTGTGTGTGTTTGTGTTTGTTGTGTGTGTGTTTGGTGTGTATTTGGTGTGTATTTGGTGTGTGTGTGTGTGTTTGTTGTGTGTGTATTTGGTGTGTGTGTGTGTTTGTTGTGTGTGTATTTGGTGTGTGTTTGAATGTGTGTCTGTGTGTGTGTGTGTGTGTGTGTGTGTATTTGGTGTGTGTTTGTATGTGTGTGTGTGTGTTTGTGTTTGTTGTGTGTGTGTGTGTGTGTGTGTGTGTGTGTGTATTTGGTGTGTGTGTGTGTGTGTGTGCATGTGTTTCTGGTGTGTGTGTTTGGTGTGTGTGTGTGTTTGGTGTGTATGTGGTGTGGTGTGTGTGTGTTTTGTGTGTATGGTGTGTGTGCTTGTGCATGTGTGTGCGTGTATTTGGTGTGTGTATGGTGTGTGTTTATGAGTGCGTGTGTGTATTTTGTGTGTGTTTGTGCATGTGTGTGTGTGTTTGTGCATGTGTGAGTGTGTGAGTGCATGTGCGTGTGTGTGTTTGTGCGTGTGCCTGTGTATGGTGTGTGTTTTTGTGCGTGTGTGTGTGTGTGCGTGTTTTTGATGTGTGAGTGTGTGTGTAAAATAGATTTATTTGAATACAGATTAGATAAACTTAATTATCACCTTTCTTTTCTTCACTTCCGACCATAGACTGTAAATATTATCGGACGTAGTCAAACCTTTCTCTGCCGTTCAAATAAAAAATTCCCCTCAACTATGACATTTTGAGCCAAGAGCCACTTTTGGAGCATCCTGTAAAGCCGTTGTTGAGAGGTTAGAACATACGTACATTAGCATTGGATAATTCTTATTCCGGGTCTACCCCCACAGGCCCGGGGTGGTACTGCAGCATGTCAGCGCACGTCATTAATGACTCTGTCTTGTTGATCCAAATACTCGCAAATGTTAAGCTCCAGAGAAATAATTCAAAAATGTCTGTTTTTACCAATCAAGCAAATGCAAATAGGCAGGGTAAATTTATTCATATAGCACATATCATACACAAGGAATCTCCAAGTGCTGAACATTCATTTGTGTCTTCTATATTTGAATCCCCAAGAACCTGTGTGTGAGGCACTTTGTACAAGGTAGATCCATAAATACCATAAATACTGGCAAAGCATATGGTGCTCTCCGTTTGTGAATCTGTGGACACCTCCCACTCAAATGAACTGAAAATATACGAAAATATACTTTTATCTCACTAACACTGATGTCGCCTCAGAAGGAGCTACACAGAAGTTGGGAGAGGTACGAGAACTTGTTGATTCAGACGGAAGTTGGAAGAAAATTTTAATTAAATATCCATGTCTATATGAATCCATGTCAGCCACTACACTCTGAGGACGTGTGTGGGCGTGTGTGTGTGTGTCTGTGTGTGTATCTGTGTGTGTCTGTGTGTGTGTGATTATTAAATGAAGTTGTGAACACTGGGGGAGTCTTGCACAGTTTTTCCAATTTAGTTTTTACCGCAAATGGCAAATAAATTATTTAATCTTGACTCATGCATTGTCTTTGGATTCCACTCTTGAATCTTCAAAATGGTTCTGTTATCTTCGTCAATGTTGTCAATTCCTCAACAACAGATCAGAGAAACAAACCGGGAAATGCAATGATAACAAACACATAGAAGCCAACGCAAATGTGCCGAATCATCAACGTTTTACACCCTCCTGCATCGGCAAAGAATGACTCACAGCTCAGTGGGATACAGTGTGTGTGTGTGTGCGTGTGTGTCAGTGTGTGTGTGTGTGACTGATACCGAGGCTTTCACATGGAGTACCACTGACACCTACAGGCCTCTTCAGGTACTGCACACTCACGCTGTAGGTTAAAGGGCATACCATTCATTTCAGATCTGTTCTGTTTTCAATATCACAGGGACATTTGTCTGGAAAGATTCATATCAAAATCATATATAAAAATTAAGGAATCATATTTGAATGGACTGAATAAACAGATAAAAAAAATATACATTTATAAACATTTATGGTCATCCATCTGCCCCTTATGGACCAATGTCTCTGTGTTTTACATCATTGCATTTCTAGTGTTTGAACTGCCTGATTCTCTGATCTGTTCTGGCGAATCGACAGCTTTGTAAAATCCTTCGAGATAACTAATGTTGTGATTTAGGGCTGTCCAAATTGTATTTTGAATTTAAATAAGACGCATAAGATAACATGTCGGGTGAACTAAAGTAGCCCTCTTACTACAAAGTTTGGACACCCCTGCCGTAGTGTGTCATCTTTAAAGGTGCAGTAAGCGATGTTGTTAGCTTAGCCGTAGCACCGACTGGAAACCCCTCCCCCCTCCCCTTCCTCTCCACCGAACCAAACATCCAGCATTTTCTTTTCTTTGTCACAACAGGGAGAGTGAAGCAAACGTGAAATTGGTATTTTCTGTTCAGCCATTTTAGGTTTTAGAAAATCCGATAACTCTGGTGCACTCTGAGAAACAGGAAGAGGGTGAAGGGGGTAAACACATCCCATTGGTTCGTTGGGGATGAACGAATACCATTGGTTTATTTTTATCGGTCTGCTCCAAAATATTTTTTATTAATTTTTTGGAGACTATAGACATCTGGTCAATTCCATTACTATTTGAAAACACATGAAAACTTAAAAAATGCGTCTGGAAAAGATCACTGCTTCTTTAGTGCGCTCCTCATTGCGCCACATCCTCTGCTCTTGTATAAAGTCTAAATGTTCAGAACTAGCTTCCTCTCGGTGCGTTTGAGTTGTTAGTGAGTGAAACGTGGCTGCAGGACATGATCTCCGTGTTCCTCAGAGCAGCGCCAGCTCTGTGCATGCGGGCGGCACCGCGGGGGGTCCATTTGTTACAATAAAAACACGTTGGATAAAAACAAACAGTCCCTGGATTCCTCTCTCTGTTCCACAGGCTTCTGTGTTGCATCTCCTCTGCACGGGTGGGGAACGGGATTTATTAGATTTTGCGGGGGAAAAAATCTCTTGGAGGCAAAGGTTCAAGGGTTTCAGAGCTCTGGAGCACAGGGAGAACATGCAAACTCTCGCTATATGAAATGAAGGAAAAGAATGTACTGCACATGTATAAGGCAAATATATGAATGTATGTATATGTTAGAGAGAGAAAGAGGGAGGGAGAGAGAGAGAGGGGGGGGAGAAAAGAGAGAGAGAAAAGGATGGGAGAAGAGAGAAAGACAAAGGAGGAGAGAGGGAGCGGAGAAAACAAATCAAGAGGGATGGGGGAAGAAAAGATAGGGAGGGTAGAAAAGAGAGAGAGGGGAGAAAGGAGTGAGAGAGAAAGGGAGGGTAGAAAAGAGAGAGAGGGGAGAAAGGAGTGAGAGAGAAAGGGAGGGTAGAAAAGAGAGAGAGGGGAGAAAGGAGTGAGAGAGAAAGGGAGGGTAGAAAAGAGAGAGGGGGGAGAAAGGAGTGAGAGAGAAAGGGAGGGTAGAAAAGAGAGAGGGGGGAGAAAGGAGTGAGAGAGAAAGGGAGGGTAGAAAAGAGAGAGGGGGGAGAAAGGAGTGAGAGAGAAAGGGAGGGTAGAAAAGAGAGAGAGAGAGAAAACGGAAAAGGAGAAAAGAGAGAGGGGGGAAAAGAGAGAGAGGGGAGAAAAGAGTGAGAGAGACAAAGGGAGGGGAGAAGAGAGAGAGGGGAGAAAGGAGTTAGAGAGAGAAAAGGAGGGGAGAAGAGAGAAAGCGAGTGGAGGAGAGAGGGAGCGGAGAAAACAAATCAAGAGAGATGGGGGAGAAAAGAGTAAGAGAGAAAGGGAGGTAAGAGGAGAGACACAGGGGAGAAAAGGGTGAGAGAGACAAAGAGTGGGGAGAAGAGAAAGGGAGGGGAGAAACTCATACAAAGTGACTCTAGCTTTATGAAATGCAGCTCCTTTAAGACCAAATGTTCTTTATACATTTATTAGCAGTTTTGACGACAGTGATGTAAATGTCGGGACACGCCACAGCCTTTTTAAACCATTTACAGACGTCATTATTCTCCTCCATCCAGTTCACGGTTTCTCTGTGTCCGTCCTGGGAGGTGGGTTTTAAGGCACAGCACTCCTTTAAAGTCAGCCTGTTGTTATGTGAGGCGGGGTCCACACACACTGCTCTGGCTGAGACACAGACAGGACGTCCCACCGAGGACCGTGCACAACACAGACACGTCCAGGCTTAAGTGCGTTCAACATGACGGCTTTATTTTCACTGCTGGTCTTCTAAATGTTCATGAAAATTAATTCTGACTTGAAGAACTATAAGCTCACCGTGCTCCAAGTCCTCCCGCCACTGCTTCACGGCATCTGTCAATCACACTGAACTGCAGCGCCACACTGCCCTCTCCTGGCAGAAATCAGGCACTGCCCGCATCAAGCTTCATATCACGAGGAAGCTCCATCCAAGCAGCAGCTTCATTCACGCTGCAACCCTCCTCCTCCCCATCTCTGCCTCGTTCTGGTCCAGCTCTTTCATCCTTCTCCTCGCTCCCACCACCAGGGTCTATGTCCCGGGGGATTTCTCCTTATAATTTCTTTCCCCTTTTGCAATCGTGCAGTGCTCTGCCGGGGTCTTAGGCCAAATCCTAACCATATTTATCTACAGCCACAATAAATGTAATCTTGAAAATATGATCCTCAGAGTCATATTTGTAGATTCAGATTACTGCCAACAACAAACCATTCTAATAATACCCATGTTTTGTATCCAACAGATCAGTGAGCCTCCTCCTGCCTCCTCCAGCCTCCTTCAGCCTCCTTCAGTCTCCTCCTGCCTCCTACAGCCTCCTCCAGCCTCCTTCAGCCTCCTCCTGCCTCCTCCAGCCTCCTTCAGCCTCCTCCTGCCTCCTCCAGCCTCCTTCAGCCTCCTTCAGTCTCCTCCTCCTCCTGCCTCCTCCTGCCTCCTCCAGCCTCCTCCTGCATCTACAGCCTCCTCCAGCCTCCTTCAGCCTCCTCCTGCCTCTTTCAGCCTCTTCCAGCCTCCTCCTGCCTCCTTCAGCCTCCTCCAGACTCCTCCTGCCTCCTTCAGCCTCCTCCAGACTCCTCCAGACTCCTTCAGCCTCATCTGGCCTCTGCAGCCTCCTTCAGCCTCCTCCTGCCTCCTCCTGCCTCCTCCAGCCTCCTTCAGCCTCCTTTAGCCTCCTCCAGCCTCCTCCTGCCTCCTTCAGCCTCCTCCAGACTCCTCCAGACTCCTTCAGCCTCCTCTGGCCTCTGCAGCCTCCTTCAGCCTCCTCCTGCCTCCTCCTGCCTCCTCCAGCCTCCTTCAGCCTCCTTTAGCCTCCTCCAGCCTCCTCCTGCCTCCTTCAGCCTCCTCCAGACTCCTCCAGACGCCTTCAGCCTCCTCTGGCCTCTGCAGCCTCCTTCAGCCTCCTCCTGCCTCCTCCTGCCTCCTCCAGCCTCCTTCAGCCTCCTCCAGCCTTCTCCAGCCTCCTTCAGCCTCCTTCAGCCTCCTCCCCTCCTACCTCCTCCTGCCTCCTCCAGCCTCCTCCAGCCTCCTCCAGCCTCCTCCAGCCTCCTTCAGCCTCTGCAGCCTTTGTGGCCTGGATCAGATTCCCACTGGTCCTGTCTCGCTCCAAGAACCTGCCTTTAGCTTCGCCGCATCAAAAAGAACAATCCATCTGTTTGCAAAGTAGCGGAACGGTCAAGAAACGGCCAGAAAAGGAACATAGAAATTGGTTTTAAGATTATTATTTCAACCTGAAGCTGTGCAGCACTGAGTGGTGGGTTTGCATTATCACAAAAATAATATGTCATTCCAGGAGCAGCGGAGCGTGGTTCAGAGGAGCTGGGGAGCTGCCAGTATGAAGCCAGGCCAGGCCAGAAAGCAGTCAACCCACGTCTCACATCTGATAAAGAAACTCTCTCCATCTGCAGCTTTGTGTCACATTTGAGCTGCTTTGGAGCTGCTTTAGAGCTGCTTTAGAGCTGTAAAGTCTGTGCCTTTCTTTAACATCCTGCAGACTGTTAAAGCTGCAGAATTATTACAGCACGTTCTCACTAAGCACTCTGCAATTGTCGTAGGCCTTAGTCCTCTCACTCCTCACTGAGGTGGGAGTAGGTCGTCTGAACACAAGAGGTTCGTGTCAACCAGGAAGAAACCTACACAGACAGTGAATGGTGAGAAACCTTTCTTTGTTTGAGTTTAGACAAACTTTACACAATGTTGTATCTAATGCAACTTTAAAAGTGTAGGTTGAGTTAAATGTTGCCCAAAATGGCTCTTATGGAAACAAAGATTGAAGACCTCAGTTCCAGCGGATTTTTGATGTTGTTGGAGAACAGTCCTGAGAAACACACTGTAAAAACAGTGAAGGTGTCGACACAGAGAGAGACTGTTCTGGAAACAGCAGCGACTCCGAACTCTGAAACAGTTGTTTTGTGTTTCACAGTCGTTTTTGCTTATTTCTATCTGTAAATGTTCCTGCAGTCGAGTGTTCTTGCTTTTACACTGGTCCAGACCAAGATTCCACTGGTCCAGACCAAGATTCCACTGGTCCAGACCAAGATTCCACTGGTCCAGACCAAGAGGATCAAGGAGAAATCCACTGGAGGATTGATAAACTGATAATTAAGCATTCAGAATTTCACTCTGAACCAGAGCAGAGAGTGGTCCAAACCAAACAGACGCTGAAACATCACTCAGAGGAAGCAGCTCATCATAGCGACTGCACCACCTGCTGCACCACCTCCTGCTGCTGCACCACCTGCTGCTGCACCACCTGCTGCACCACCTCCTGCTGCTGCACCACCTGCTGCTGCACCACCTCCTGCTGCTGCACCACCTCCTGCTGCTGCACCACCTGCTGCACCACCTCCTGCTGCTGCGCCACCTGCTGCACCACCTCCTGCTGCTGCACCACCTGCTGCACCACCTCCTGCTGCTGCGCCACCTGCTGCACCACCTCCTGCTGCTGCACCCCCTGCTGCTGCACCACCTGCTGCACCACCTCCTGCTGCTGCACCACCTGCTGCTTCACCACCTGCTGCACCACCTCCTGCTGCTGCACCACCTGCTGCACCACCTGCTGCTGCACCACCTCCTGCTGCACCACCTCCTGCTGCTGCACCACCTGCTGCTGCACCACCTGCTGCTGCGCCACCTGCTGCTGCACCACCTGCTGCGCCACCTGCTGCTGCACCACCTGCTGCACCACCTCCTGCTGCTGCACCACCTGCTACTGCACCACCTGCTGCTGCACCACCTGGTGCACCACCTGCTGCACCACCTGCTGCACCACCTCCTGCTGCTGCGCCACCTGCTGCTGTGACACTTTATTACTATTGAAACTTTTAGAAGGATGTATTTATTTGTTTGTTTAAATGGATGTGTTTCTGCTGCTGGACATTCCTCCTACGAGAGATGAATAAAGTGTCTCTCTCTGGTCTCTCTCTCTCTTTCTGGTCTCTGTAGTCTCTCTCTCATTCTCTCTCGTGTCTCTGATCTCTCTCTCTCTCTCTAGTCTCTCTCCTTCTCTCTCTGATCTCTCTTTCTCTCTGGTCTCTCTCCTCTCTCTCTGGTCTTTCTCTCTCGTCTCTCTCTGCTTTCTCTCTCTTTCTCTGGTCTCTCTTTCTCCCTGGTCTCTCTCTCGCTCTCTCTGGTCTTTCTCTTGCTCTCTCTGGTCTCTCTCTCCCTCTGGTCTCTCTCTCGCTCTCTCTGGTCTCTCTCTCGCTCTCTCTGGTCTTTCTCTTGCTCTCTCTGGTCTCTCTCTCCCTCTGGTCTCTCGCTCTCTCTGGTCTCTCTCTCTGGTCTCTCTGTCTCCCTCTGGTCTCTCTCTCGCTCTCTCCCTCTGGTCTCTCTCTGGTCTCTCTCTCTCCCTCTGGTCTCTCTCTCTCTCTCTCTCCCTCTGGTCTCTCTCTCTCTCTCTATATCTATCTTTTCCATTGTACCCCTGTCCCTTCCTTGTGCCAGGCCTCTCCTCTCCCTCGTCTCCCTCCTCTCCATCCTCTCCATCCTCTCCCTCCTCTCCATCCTCTCCCTCCTCTCCATCCTCTCCATCCTCTCCATCCTCTCCCTCCTCTTCCTCCTCTCCATCCTCTCCATCCTCTCCCTCCTCTCCATCCTCTCCATCCTCTATCCTCTCTATCCTCTCCATCCTCTCCATCCTCTCCCTCCTCTCCATCCTCTCCCTCCTCTCCATCCTCTCCCTCCTCTCCATCCTCTCCCTCCTCTCCCTCCTCTTCATCCTCTCCATCCTCTCCATCCTCTCCCTCCTCTCCCTCCTCTCCCTCCTCTCCCTCGCTCTGTGTATTCCCCTCAGTCTGACAGCTCCATGATCAATGCAGCGTCAGTGTCATTATGTCCAAACGAGGACTTAAGTGGCTGCTTCTTTCCAACGCCACTTTTATTTCATCCAAATTGTTTGTTGATAGTTTGGCCACGGGCAGAGACCACAGCAGATCTGCGGAACCAACCCACTGCGATCCAGAAACACTAGATTCTGTGTCTGATGCCTGTCGATAATCCTGCGGTCTACCTCTTCTCACCCAAACCACAATCGGCCTAAAGCGAAGAAAGCATCGGTAGAATTGATCATTTTTCCAGTTTTCTCCTGTGAGATCTCAAAACGTCTGCGTGATCAGTTGTTTTATATTTCGGCTGTAGAAAAGTGAGCGGTGTATCGTGTTTCTTTGTGATAACACGAGTGGATTATTCCGTCGTTTGAAACAGGCCTCTCCAAACGTCTGTGAAATCTGGTTTACTCCTGCATACCTCGTAATTAACTTTATTTATGTATTTTATAATTCAATCTAGTTATGCAATGTTTTTAGGCTGTTTAGTCACAAATTACTCATTTTGAGCTCTGTTTTTAGTCTCATCTTAAATTGGATCTGTTGATTTTTTGTGTGGGATAAACTTGAAAAAGGGTTTTAGTTTAAAGTTGTGGATGCGAAGTACAAAAGGTCTTAAGGCTGTGGACTCCGGACAGATGTTTGATTTTAAAGAATCAGTTAAACATATTTACAATGCTGACAGAAGACACGTGACCTTAAATATTTCAGTTAGTTTTGTGTTTTGACAAATGCAAATGCTGTCGGTTGATTCTCTGATCTGCTGTTGGCGAATCAACAACTTTGTAACGTCCTCTGAGATGAGCTGCTGTGATTTAGGTCTATACAAAAATACATTGAATTAAATCTAATGGATGATGCACGAATGAGGCCGTTGTTCACAACAAAACCAGTAACTTGGTGAAAAGCGTCGTCTTTTTTTAAGAGAAAATCAAAAACATTGGTTTTCTATAAATCTGAAGTTTTATACAAATAGCTCAAAGTAATGTAATAATAAAAATGAGGCATCAGTTTTACACAAAGTTCTTCTGGAGACTCAAAAATGTCATTATTAATTCACCCCAAACACGGTGGTGATAAACTACTACTGTAGCCACAGCTGCCCTGGGGCACACTGACAGAAGCGAGGCAACTATCTATTGTGGGGGCGGTCCAATCCATCCATTCATCTTCTTCCCTTAAATCCATTTCTGGGTCGGGGGTGGCAGTCAGAGCTGCACCCAGTTCACAGAGCACCAGCCTCTCACTGATCCTCCTGCAGGAGTCCACATCATAGCCTCAGGCAAAGTGGGGTTAAGTGTCTTGCCCAAGGAGGTGGGCTCGAACCCACGACCTTCAGGCTCAAAGTCAAATGCAACAACAACTGAGGGATTTACTCTTTCTAATGGACTGTGATTATTTATGATTTTAATGCCTTGTGTGATTGTTTCTATCTTGTTTTGTGCAGCACTTTGACTTTCTTTGAGGATGAATTGTGCTATACAAATAAACCTAGGCTCTAGCTCTGCTGTGATTGGTCGGCTCGGTCACATGTGCAGAAGAGTAGAACAGAAGGTGAATAATGGGTGTTGGCCACAGGCAGGACCGGCCTGGATCGTGTTCCGCTGAGACCACAAACCCCTCCATCCTCTGCTCACATTTTTACAGATCGTGTTTTACTCTAATCCCAGAATATGTGTGAAGTCGACAGATTTTTGACAATTTCAGCCGATTGTGAAATGAAATGAGACTTGAAGCTGAAGTTATTTGAAACCAATGTGTTCCATCGCTCAGTGTTGTGTTGTTGGGGTCACATCTTGAAGTTATTCTCTTCTTATTATCTGCTGTTGTGTGTCTTTAGAATGTCTTTGTTTGGTTGTTTGTATCATGACATGTATTTGTGCTCTTTTATGTTCTGCATCCCTGGCTTACAGCAACGTCTTCCTTCTTTTTTTATTTAACCAGAAAAATCCCACTGAGATTAAAAAACCTTTTTCTCAAGGGAGTCCTGATGACCTAAAGCAAGGTCGCAAATTCATGGGGAAACTTATGACAAAAAAGGGCTTTTTGTTTGTTGTCATCACAAAAAAAACCTCTAGAATATAAAAACATGTCTTCCATCCATCAGCTGACATTACTGCCAAACGAGAAACCGTTTATGTGCTGTATTTGAATCAAGAGCTGAGGATTAGCCTGACTCTCAGACCCCTGTAGTTCCGCCATGCTCCACTAGAGGCGTTTCGCTTCACACACAAGGGTCTAGGATCGACGCCAAAGCAAACTCCTTCAGGAGATCAGAAAATAATCAGCGAATCAGGATCGCCGGTGTTACGACGGGTTTGGACCGCCTTCTCAAGCGTGTCTCAAGGCAGCCAAAGCAATCCAAGATGGCGGAAATACAGTCTGTGAATTTTAATAAAAGTATTATTACGAACAAATTAAGACACGGATGTCACTTTTAATGCAATTTAAGGCGAGATATTGATGGCTCCATGTTGATGGTTCTATGTTGATGGTTCCATGTTGATGGTTCCATGTTGATGGTTCTATGTTGATGGTTCCATGTTGATGGTTCTATGTTGATGGTTCCATGTCAATGGTTCCATGTTGATTGTTCCATGTTGATGGTTCCATGTTGATGGTTCCATGTTGATGGTTCTATGTTGATGGCTCCATGTTGATGGTTCTATGTCGATGGTTCTATGTCGATGGTTCTATGTCGATGGTTCCATGTCGATGGTTCCATGTCGATGGTTCCATGTCGATGGTTCCATGTCGATGGTTCTATGTTGATGGTTCCATGTTGATGGTTCCATGTTGATGGTTCCATGTTCATGGTTCCATGTTCATGGTTCCATGTTGATGGTTCTATGTTGATGGTTCTATGTCGATGGTTCCATGTCGATGGTTCCATGTCGATGGTTCCATGTCGATGGTTCCATGTCGATGGTTCCATGTTGATGGTTCCATGTTGATGGTTCCATGTTGATTGTTCCATGTTGATGGTTCTATGTTGATGGTTCTATGTTGATGGCTCCATGTTGATGGTTCCATGTTGATGGTTCCATGTTGATGGTTCCATGTTGATGGTTCCATGTTCATGGTTCCATGTTGATGGTTCTATGTTGATGGTTCCATGTTGATGGTTCTATGTTGGTGGTTCCATGTTGATGGTTCCATGTCGATGGTTCTATGTTGATGGTTCCATGTTGATGGTTCTATGTTGATGGTTCTATGTTGATGGTTCTATGTTGATGGTTCTATGTTGTTTTACGTGTGTTTTAAGAGCCAAATGTTTGTGGAGCCATCTGCACCAGGAGCAGAGAGCCGCCTGAAGACACAGGACCCAGAGGAGAGAAGAGGAGGCTAGTCCCCACCAGGTCCCAGTGCTGTGGGATCCTTCAGAAGAATCACTGGAGACACTAAAAATGAAAAATAAAGTCAAAATAAATGATGCTACACTGTGTCCAGGCCACACAAATCTGTAAAATAATATGCAATAAAAGTAAAAATATTAAAGTAAGGTTTGAAGAATGTAAATATAGTAAAGAAAATTAATATATTTACAGCTTCAGTAAACCAAAATGTTTGTATTTGACTAAATATTGGTGCAGTAACAGTACATTAGCACAGTTACAGACTTTACCTCACATTAAAGTCTGCGACTGTCACCTACATTATATACAGTAATAAATGATGAAATGAATATCAACACAACAGAAAGATAGAATAGATTGTGTTGAGATTATGCCACAAACCTTTTAGACAATAGCTCTTTGAAACAGAAGCCAAAACCTGCACGGCTGCGGTGAAGAGAATGGAAAGAATCAGTTGAGTGAGTTGGGACACTCTCCAGCCTTCTCCCTCGCTCCACCGAACATCTACAATTCTCAAAGCACTCACCAAAGTTTACACAAATAGAGGAGCGAGGATGGAACGACGGGAGTCTCCAGAAACGCCGACAGAGAGGAAGAGTCGGGGAAGGTAAAACATGCAGAGATCAGACACCTCGATGGTGAACAAAACGTGAAAGAATAATTGAATTTGTGTGAGCGCTGATACCATCTGAGCCGGGATGAAGTAGCGTCTGGTTTTGCCGGGCCGTGTCTAAATGTTCTTATGTGAAATTGGTCAAAAGATTGGAGCGATGAGAGCTGGATTTACATTGTGCAAGAAATAACTGAGGAATTGCATTAAGTACAGTATGTGTTGGGTTTGACTCCCAACGCTAAAATAGTTTCATGCATTTGGGCTGAGAACGTTAGAACGGTTGTTGAACGGTTTGATTCTCTGATCTGTGTTGGCGAATCGGCAGCTTTGTGAAACCCTCCGAAACTTTTGTGATTAAAAAAATAGATTGAATTGAAACGTATATAAAACAGTGTGCAAAGAAGCGACCAGAAAAAATTAGTCTATTTTTTTGTCTACTTTTGCTGCAGAAGGCTGATCCCAGGTCTGTCAAAAATCTTGTATTGCCCTAAATCACAAAAGTAGTTTTCGGAAGACTTTACACAACGGCTGAATTCACAAACACAGATCAGAGAATCAAACAGTCCAAACACAAATAAAAAGTGTTGATAAATGTCCATGAACGTTGTTGAATGTTGAGAGTCCTGGATCATCCTCAGTTAGACCTCACAGACTCCAACAGACTCCAACAGACTCCAACAGACTCCAGACTCCAACAGACTCCAACAGACTCTAACAGACTCTAACAGACTCTAACAGACTCCAACAGACTCCAACAGACTCCAACAGACTCCAACAGACTCTAACAGACTCTAACAGACTCTAACAGACTCTAACAGACTCTAACAGACTCTAACAGACTCTAACAGACTCTAACAGACTCTAACAGACTCTAACAGACTCTAACAGACTCTAACAGACTCCAACAGACTCCAACAGACTCCAACAGACTCCAACAGACTCCAACAGACTCCAACAGACTCCAACAGACTCCAACAGACTCCAACAGACTCCAACAGACTCCAACAGACTCTAACAGCTTAAGTCAACCTAAAATCAAACTAGTGATCCAAAATGTATGAGAGCAGGGAGCACAAGGTTTTTTTTTTCCAACCGTGCCAGAGCAACTATGTTGTAGTACGACGCTCAATCCAGCTGGTGGCGCTCATACAAACTTCTGCGACAACCTCGAGTTAAGTTTGCATTTCTCGGCTCCTGCTGCCACAGCTCGAGTGTGCGCCACAGACACTGCAGGAGCGCACCTTGGATATGCGCTCCTGTAGATATGAGCGAATGAGAATGAAAGAATGAAAAGTGTGGTGTACGAGCAGAGTGACCGAAGACAGGCAGGATACAGGTGTGTGTGTGTGTGTGTGTTCTGGCGATTAAATAAAGTCTGATTCTTAAATTTCTGAAGTGTTATTGCAAAAGCACCACACTAAGAGCGAGGGTCAGGACAGAGGGAGATATTCCCGTAGGAAACGTTTCCCTTTGGCCCTGCAGCGACACACCCCTATACAATACAATACAATACAATTTATTCTTGTATAGCCCTAGGTCACAACAGAAGTCATCTCAGAGGACTTAACAAAACCATTGAAATCACCAACACAGGTCAGAGAATCAACAGTTAAAACACATGAAGAATATAAAGCACACACAGAAGAAAATGTCCATACATGTTGTAGAATGCTAAAGTGTCCTGATCATCACCAATCCTTTCTGTTGGACACTAACTGTCCAACAAGACCCTCCTGCATCGACAAGGAAAAACTCTTAAAAAAAACCCAGTGGGAAAAAGTGAGAAACCTTGGGGAGCACTAGGGAAACCCACAGGGAGGGAGACCCATGTGAGAAAGGGATCCGCTCCTCCGGACGGACAGGCTAATGATCTAGGACCTAAGCTAGCTACAGAACGTGGACCAGTGGCCGTGAACGTGGACAGGTCCGGTGCAGGACCGAAGCACTCCCAGGCGGGTCGGGCGGGGCAGTCCGCAGGTGTAGATGGAAGAGGCCAGGCTCAGAGATCCCGTCATCGTACCATGAAACAGACAATGGGACAACGGGTGAATGGCAATGAACAAACTACAGTCAGAATCCTAAAAATGCTAAACAGATAAAGTAGGAAGGAGGAGAGGATAGTGCTCAAGTTACCATACTTCTCCCAGCAAACTGACTCCCTATGCAGCTTGACTAACACTCTGAGGAGTTTAACCTTCTCCGAGTCTTACCTTCCTAGCCATATGCTAAACTAAAGAGGACTGTTTTAAACCTAGCCTTGAATAAAGAATAACATACAGCATAATATATAACATAATATACAACATAATACAATACATTATTGAATAATATATAACATAATATATAACATAATACAGCATATATATATAATATATACACTACATATTATATATTACCTAGTTATATGCTAAATTAAAGTAAAGTGCTTTAAGCCTGGCCTTGAATGTGGAGACCGTATCTGCTTCCTTAACATAAATGGGAAGCTGATTCCACAGTAAAGGAGCTTGGTAGCTAAATGCTCTGCCACCAACAGTGACCTTTGAGACCTTAGGGACCACCAGACGTCTGGCGTTTTGTGAGCGCAACGCTCGACCTGGTTGATACGACACTAACGTGTCTTGGAGATAAGAGGGAGCCAAGCCATTTATGGCTTTATA